ATTTATTGCATTCATTCTTGTGAGTTTTCAAATACGATACTACTTAATTGTGAAAGTTTTTCCTGGGTAGAGATTTGGCTCCTCTGCTTTGACATTTATGTGTACATGTATATTTATAGTTGTGATCTGTCTGGAATTTGCCTTTGTGGTTTTATTTGCTCTTTAACTTGTTCTGTGATCTAGTCCTGTCTTGCAGTTTTGTCTGAGCTTTTAACATGTGAGGAATTTAGTTTTTAATTTATTTTTAAAAGTGTTAATTGAAAGGAGATATGAGCATATTTGTTCAACTTCAGCTATTTCAAAGAATGACACAGTTCTGCTTTTCCTTAAGCAAAACTTGTACTGGTACTAATTTATGACTGATCTGGAATTTGAGTTCCCTAATGTGACTTGTAAGAATTGGAGATGTTTTCTGGGAACTGCTATTTCTAAATAATTGGTTATCAGCTAATAAGCCTTGAGAACTGCTATGCTTTTAGCAATCAGACCTTTTAGATCTAGTAGAATTTAGGAAAACTGGAAAAAAATCTACAGACTTTATTTGAAAATTAAACCTAACAATTGTGGCAATATACTGTAAAGAAGAGATCTGATCTTTATTGTGTATATCTTGTAGATAAAGTGGATAAAATTCTTGATCTGCTTGAGATTTTAATACTTCAGTGAGATATATGCAGCATCAGAAGCTGACTTCATTCAGTGTTAATGGAATCATGTGGTCAAGCATTACTAATACCTGTATGTCTGTATCTGTATGTCTGTGTACGTTATGCTTTTGAGTAAAAGCGAATAGGACTATTTGTGTAGAGGATGTTTGAAGAACCTATGTATATATGAATGCTTAGAAAACTTCTGCTACAAAAGAATGCCTTTTCATGCTGAGCATTGTTTCAGAACTTACTTTCATTTTTGTCTGACAAATGATGTGCTGCCTGAAAGTATATGCATGTAAAGTAGACACAGACTACAACTTTCTAATGATTGGGATTCATCACATAAGCTGTGTTTCAGGTGCTCCTCTAGTATTTGAATTTTCACATGCTGCACAGGCAATTGAAATATTTCTTTATTTTTGCTCCTCTCCCCACCATGGAATGAAGCATTTGGAAGAAAGAGGAGATTCTACCAGAATCTAAACTTGGTAATTAAAATTGATATTTCCTGTAGTAGTGTAATCATTGAGCATAGCTTGGCAGAAAATGGTTTTCCAGAATTGACTAAGCACTATTTTCACAAATGCCATTTGATATGACAGCGATTGAATACGGCTATTGTTTCTGGCTGTGTAAAGAATCAGCCGTCAGCTTTTTGTTGGTATAGCATTCAGAAGTGTTGATACAGTAGAATGAGGAAGAATGCTAAATGACAGATTGTGTGTATGAGGTGGTGTCATAGACAAGTGTGTTACTGGAGATGTGTGTTTCAGAATTTGCTTGTTGCTTGTTCATGAGCATTCTGAATCAAAGCATTAGGTAATAGTTTTTCTGATTTTATAGCTACCTAGCTTAGTGGCTTGGTTATGGGGGGCATCATAGAGTTGCAGAATGCAGTACTGCTAGCTTGTCACATACAAGGAACTATATAAGTTCTACCAGATTGCATGCTGGTAGTGCTCCTTAGGCAAAATTCAGTTAAAAGTCCAAATAGATGGTGAGCTGGCATTCCAGTGTGGTGCACATGGAATTGTGGGCACGAGCAGGTATGCAAGCAGGGTACGTACCTCCTACCCTATTCCAACCCAAACACCAACCTCAATAAAGGTGTTACTCTAATGCGAGGACTCTGGGGAGCTGGGAACTTGCTGACAGAATGCCTGGTGATGGTCAAAAATACTACTGCAAAAGAGAGTTTTTGAAGTAGAAAGGCAGAAACTTGTAAAGAACTAAATGATCCCATAAATGAATTCATCTGTCCCACCCTAGGTGATCACAGGATTTTCCTTCAGGCATTAAAGAAACTCAGATTATAGCATGAAAAACAAGTACATAGGAGGTTTTTCAATAGCTGTTTTCTGTTCACCTGCATTTATTTGAAGGAGCTGCAGTGCCAGAAGTTCGTGTTATGGACAGTGCCCAAAGGATTTTATTGTTAACAACACTGAAGGGGGAACACAGGCAAAAAAACAAAAGGTCTCTAATTATATGATAAAAAGATGGGGAGTGCCGAGAGAAAGAAGGAGCATACTTTGTGAAATCTTGTTTCAGTTGTCCCATCAAGTAGGCGGGAAGTAGAAGTAGCAATAGTCATTGCTGTGTTCACTCAGTCTTCATTGTTTCATTGTTGTTATTTTTAGAGAATAACTTACCTAATTAGGGTATAACTTGGCACCGGTGCTGGAAGAGCGTGTTTCTCTCTGTAGGCCCCCTACAGAAAGGATGCCTGAACAGTTACTCACTGTAATTGTTAGCAAAGTTTCTCATTGTGACTTCTTCAGTTCCGACGCCTAGGTAGAAGAAGCTTTTGATTTAAAGAGAAATCCTGACTACTGACTATTTTTTAATGAAACCTGGGAAATTAATTACTATGTCTTACAAAATGGTGGAGGGTCAGCTGTACTTATGGAGACTCCTTAGGTATTCTTGTGATAATTAAAATATATAATCAATATAATGTTCTCAACGGGGAAAAAAGGTTTTATACTTTGCTTTTAAATCTAGTGTATACACATTCTACCGCTTCCATTGACCAGAGGTTTTGAAAAACTTAATGAAAGATAAACCTGCAGCTAGTCTGAGGTACTGCTGCTCTGTACATTCTAAGATGTATCACCGTGGTCACACAAATAGCGTGTGGTCCTGTTCAGTGCACTGCAAGTGATGTAAGGTGTGACCCTGCTGTGCTGGCTCAAACACTGCAGTGGCCGCACAGCTGAGCATTGTGACTCCTTGTACTGTTAGTTCTGCTAGAGGACTTTGGGCTGTGCTGAATTCTGTTTTTGTCAATAGTGATGAAGTTTGTTTGCTGTTGTTATTCAGAGTGACTGTGACTGCTGAGTTTGGATGATGATTTGTCATATTCACAGCTATTTCCTGAGCATAATAAAGTTAAAGCTGCCGCCTAAAACATACATAGGTAAAGCTGCTTCTTAGGGAGTAGTAGTATGTTTCAAATGAAATCTGTTTCAGTGTTTTAATTCAACCTCTTATCCCCTCTTGCCTTAGGGATTTGATAGCAGAAAAAATCCTCAACTTAGGACATGGATCTACAAGATGTTATCTGGGAGAGTAGATTAACAAAGGGAATGTTTCTTAAAGAAAGATAAGGAGAAAAGTGTAAAGGACTAGCTTTATTTTGTGTAGAGCTCAATAACAACTTATTCCTTAAGCTGTGAAGAGAATTGATTCTGGAACCTTGTGGCTCCCAGTGTTCCAGAAACTTAAATCAGTCCTGAGAGATTTGGTGATAAATCAGATTCTTCTTCTCAATGCCCTTTCACCTCTGTTGGTTTTGAAATATTAATTACAGGTATGCAAAATCCATGGCTGTGGTGAAATGTCATCTTTCATCCCTATTGCTATTCCAGGGAGATTAGAAAAAAATCTAAGCAAATCCCAGATACATTGAGGGAATCTGGTCAAATCTAGCGCAGTGAGAAAGAACAGGTAAGATGTGGGGAATAGGGTGATGACATAAGGGGGTGAGATATCTCTTTTTATAATACCCTGTTTTAGAAGAAATCTTCTCTATTTGTCTCCTTTGAAGTTAGACCAGAATCTGGAGAACAACTTCAGAAACTGTTTTCTTTAAAGGATCAAAACCAGTTAATCTAAGGATTAACATTCTCTTTTGAGGGTCCTTTATCTGATTTATACGCTCTTAAAGTTTGCAACACTATAAGGAAGATAGTTTGAGTCTAAGAGATGCTTTCTTATGAATAAGTTCCAGATATGACTAAAATTAGCATATTTTAATCCTTTTTTTTTTCCAGGAAGGAGCATTTTTTTCAAGCTGCGCTAATCAGTCTTCAAGTTTATTATGATCCTGATAAACAAGGATAGTTTCATAACTGAAAGAAATCAAACAGTCTGAAACTTCATACCATTCCCTCTCCAGAGTATTAGAAAACCTTAAATATTACAATTTGAACTACAATTTGAACTACATGTTGTAAAAGAAATGTGCAGGAATCGGGTACTTTTCTGTTAGCTTTCATATGACAGCACTAATACTGGCTGTTACTGATATGTTGCGATACTTGCATTGGCTTGATATTGCCACGATAGAATGAGAGGTAAAGGGGGGGGGAAGAAAAAAAATAACCCACGCATTTGATCTGGTTCTAGTGTTTGTTGTTTTTTTTTTTAAGGTTTCTTTCATGTTTGATTCTTTGCTTAATGGTACAGCTGCAGTCAACTGCAGCTGAGAGTTAATTAATTTTATTTTTAAAGAAATGCAGTTAGTCTTTCTGAAGCTTTGTCGTTAGCTTTGGTGTCAAAAACTTTGCAGTCTTTGCTGGAAAGTGTACAAACCCATGTTGATTATATGTTCAGAAAGCAGTTTTATGTACAGTTGTCACTACAGAAACCGAAGTAAAATGCTGTAATTATTTCATATGAGCTACTGGATTGCTGTTGGAGTGATTATGTCTTTTAGACATGGTTGGGTTCATCCCTGCTGGTGAAAGGCACTGCATTGCACTGTTAAATGCTTAAACTTTCTAGTTGCTGGAGGAGGGAGGAAATAGTTCAACAGTTTGTGTGTGTGCATGCTTGAGAGCAAATGGACTGTACAGACTGTTCAGCAGGGGAAGTGACGCCCTGTAGTATTTGTCGTTCTAGAAAGAGTCGGAGACACGTAGTTTAGATGGGAGGACTCTGAAGAGGGCTGTGTCCTGTCCTGTGTGTGTAATTATTTATAAATGAGCAACAGCGGAAGGAATGAAATACGGATAAGCTATCTAACGTTTCTCTAGCGTATCAGAGTTTGTTGATTTTTTTTTTTTGTTGTTGTTGTTCTGTTTACTTAATTTCCAAATTTGATCTTTATTTTTCCTTCTCTAGCTTCTCTGCATTGCTGAGATACTGGATACTGGTTTCTTTATAACAAGGAAAGTCTAAATTCCTGTAACACTGAGGATGGGGAAGGATTATTATTCTATTCTGGGAATTGAAAAAGGGGCTTCTGAAGAGGATATCAAAAAGGCTTACAGAAAACAAGCACTTAAATGGCATCCGGATAAGAACAAGTCTGCTCATGCAGAGGAAAAATTCAAGGAGATTGCAGAAGCTTATGAAGTGCTGAGTGATCCCAAAAAGAGAGACATTTATGATCAGTTTGGGGAAGAAGGTATGTATATCTTTGTTATAATTTTTGAGGGGCCACTTATGTTGGAAGAAACAAAATAAGCACAGATGATGCATAGAAGCATGTGTTGGTTTTAGGCAATATGTCTGTACCACTTGGATTTTTGTCTCATTTTTATAATGTAATTTTATAATGTAAAATGTATTGCACAGGTTTTATGATAGTCTAGTTTTAATTTCTTCTGTTAATGTTTCTATGTTTTAGAAGTCCCAAATACTTACTTCACAGGCAGAAAGTCATTGGACTGCAAAAGTCTGTAGGACCCATAAATAGCTTTCTGGGATCTCGTCTTACTGCTGCCTTCCCTTACTCTAGCACTTTCTGAGATGCAGTCAGAGAGATGAATTCTGTTTTAAGATTTTGTTAAAGGACACTCTGCTTGATCTCAGCATGGCAGTCCTGAGCAGAAGCCCAGGTGTCCAGTCTGTAGTTGTCCTTGGCTTCTTGCCTAGGGGGGAAAGAATTTGGCTGATGTCATGAAATACCAGCACATTTTTTTAGCTTTAATTGTAAACAGTGATAACATGCCAAGAGAATGAGGCCTCAGAAATGTCATACTTATCCTAAAATGGTTATCTGGAGAGGATTTTTTTTTATTTTTGACCAACATGACTTGCCTCAGTCTTATGATTGAACAACAGAGGAGGACATTAACAACCCTCCTCTTAAAGTTATACTGTCAGAAATTCCAGATGAAATCATTATTTCTGTTTTTAATATGTATGTCTGCTCATTCATTGCCATTCATGCCCCCCTCGAGAGAGCAAGAAAGGACACCTAGCATTATTTTGTGCAGGAAGTTGCGAGTTCTTATATGAAATTTGACCCTCTCTCACCTGTGGGGCTTAATGAATTTGTTAAAAAATTGTTATAAATTCATGTAGAAGGCCTTTAGCTTCTGCACGTGGTGCAGTGTTTTTTGTTTTGTTCTACTGCAGGTGTCCAGAATGTTTAGGGCTGTTTTTAAAGCATTCTTGGAAAAAGCTTTAGATACCAGAGGCCTTCGTTCCCTCTTGGTCTTCTGCCTCCTTGCATTTCTTCCTATTTTCCACACCTCTTTTCTGTATCTGACTATAGTCAGATTTAGTCTTGATTTTTTTTTTAATTATTTTTTATTTTTTATTCCTGTGCAGCATTCTTCTCAAATGGCTCTCCCAAAGATGCGTTTTTTTTATGTTCTTTTTCTCAGAAGTAAGGCATGTGGCCTTTTGTGTCCTAGCACATATACTTGAGTCTAGAGATTCAAAATGTACGTTTGTTTATTTTGAGCAAAACGTTAAAGGTAGCAGTGGTGACTCTGGAAAATACCTTGTGATGACTCAGTTGTTCTCTCAGCTTTTCCATTGCTTCAGAGAGTGTAATTAGCAGTTCTGAGGAAGAGGTGAGGAGGTGGGATATAGGAAGCAGGAAACATCATTATTTCTTACAATGAAGAACCTTGGTGTGCCTTTCAATAAAAACTTCTGACCAGCTATTCCAGGAAGTGTCATTTTGTTACCACAGATTCATAGATCCACTGATCAGATTGTTTACCATTAACAGTTCTGTGCTATGTGGATAGCACTACACATTGTTAAGTACTTTTTAATGGCATGGTGTGGAGATGAGGGAAGTTGTCCTTATTCTGATGTCTTTCTTAGTTACTGCTGGTAACTGGTATTAGGCTTATGCATAGAAATTCCAAGCAAAACAGTGGGGGGAAAAAAAAAACCTAACAAAAACAAAATGTTTTTTCAAACAGAAAAAAAAAGAATTGAACATTATGAGTTTTGAACTATGTGTCCTACAAAAACTTTCAATTTTTTTCTTAGATGTTTGAGATGGTATTCTGAAACTGTCAGTGCATCAAAGCAAAAATCTAATAGGAGTTGAGAAAGGCATTTAGGACTTATTGCAAACCCAGTCAAGAAGTGCAAAGGACCAGGCAGTGAGAATCATAAGGGAAGTCTTACCAGAAAAGCATTAAATGTAGATATCTTCCTAGGGAAGATAGAGGTAGAGAAGAGTTATTTGAGAACAATGTGGGCTGTTGTGTGGTTTTTTGTTTTTTTTTTTTTTTTTGTACGGAGCTGGTGACAGTTTATAGAAGATTTTTGTACACAAATAGGTCTTAAGAACTTCTGAGGGATGTTTTTTTTTGTGGCTGGATAGAATTATATTCCCAAGTTTCTTCTCTTTTCTATCATAAATTTGAGATTTTGCTCTGAATGTTAAGGAAGCAGTATGGCTGCTTGAGTGTTGTCCTGTTCCTTTATTCTCAAAATTCATTGCAGGAGTACAGAAGTAAAGCTTATCAATAGATTGGAGTTGAATAATGGAGACTGAGAGAAATATTATTTGAATTAATAGTTGATACTGAGTAGTCTGATATTTCCTCATTGAGGAGGAGTCCTTCCACTCTATCCCAAAGACCTTTTCGGCTTGTCAATTCTGATATCTATTCTCCCACTCTTTGATAAATGGAATATTAATATAGGCTTTCTTGCATAAAATTTTGCATATTTGTCTTTTTTAGGTCTGAAAGGAGGAGCTGGAGGACCCGATGGACAGGGTGGTACCTTCCGGTATTCCTTCCATGGTGACCCACATGCTACGTTTGCAGCTTTCTTTGGTGGCACAAATCCTTTTGAGATCTTCTTTGGAAGGAGAATGCCTGGTGGTAGAGACACTGAAGACATGGAGGTGGATGGTGATCCATTTGGATCATTCACTAGTTTCAGTATGAATGGTTTTCCAAGAGAAAGGAATACAGTAGGTAGCCAGTTACGTCGTAAACAAGATCCCCCTGTAATTCATGAGCTTAAGGTGTCATTGGAAGAGATATATCATGGCTGCACAAAAAGGATGAGGATTTCACGTAAAAGGCTGAACCCAGATGGTAGAAGTGTCCGAACAGAAGACAAAATTCTCACTATTGAAATAAAAAGAGGATGGAAAGAAGGCACCAAAATCACTTTTCCAAAAGAAGGTGATGAAACACCCAACACAATTCCAGCTGACATTGTTTTTATCATAAAAGATAAACCTCACTCTCATTTCAAGAGAGATGGATCAAATATTGTCTATCCTGTTAAGATCAGCTTAAGGGAGGTAAGTCTTCTTTTAGTGGAACTCATTGTTCAACCCTATTATAATGTGGTACCACAGCTGTACAGCACAAACTAAATGACAGTGATAAAGTGTTTTCTTCTGTTCTAAAGAAAGCATTTCTCATAAAAATGTGACTACAGAATGTAGTTATTTATAGTGGAAGCACTAGCTGTTTTGATATAAATGGAGTACTATTTCAAGCTGTTTACCATGGAGGAGGTGGAAGAGAATGAAGATGGAAGAGTAAAAGTTGATATGACTTAAACCTTTGTACTTTACCTTTCTAGATAAATACATATTAGGCTAAATCAACAGATACATTCAATATAGCATGCTTATTTATTGTGTGATGTAATTGCTGCTTCCACGGAACAAAGTAGAAATTTCTTAACTATTTTCAGTGCCAGCAAATTCTAAGCCTGCCTTTTTTATGTCATACGTTATTTCAGTGTGATTTCAAAGTAGGTAGAGATTGATTTCATGAGGATAAATTATTGAGAACAGGTGTTATAGGAGCTATATATAACAACAAAAATGCTATAGCTTTTTTTATTCTGTTCCAAGAACAAAACACGCTGGCTTTCAAAAGGAAAGAATTGGGCAACCAAGGAGAGTTCTTCAGAATCTGAAGCTGTGCTGCAGTCATAATTTAAAAATTAACATAGCTGAGTGTTTTGTGTTTGCTTTCAATCAGTATTAGGTGAAGGAGCGAGTTTTTACTTGTTTTGAGCTCTTTGTGCATATTATGAGCTCCCTTCTGAGAGGATTCCTATCTAAAAATACATTTAAAGTAAAATGAAACAGAACAGGGTGAAGGAGGGAGAGAACTATTTAATGATATGTGTAATGCAGTTCTTCATGGATGAAAGACCATGTAGATTTATTGCACTGTTATGTAATAGTGAACATCTATCAGTATAGACCAAGTATACAGGACCAGGTGAAGTGGAAGAATCTTTATCAGAAATCTTAGTAATGAAAACAAACAGGAGAAAACCTGATCTTCCTGATGTTTTAATTTTGATATTCTAAAATAGTCTTTGTTTTTCTTTGACCATCACAAATGCTCTCCTAAGACAAGACAACTATTAGATTTGATTGTCTCTACTAAAAGGCATTTAAATGTTGTATTATTTGATGTAACATAAGTTGATAAAAGTGTTAGAGTAAATCCCTGTGCAGTGTGAACAAAAAATTGAACAGTAGAATTCTAAATTATTAACTATTCTAAAGTATTAACAGTAGATTCTAAATTACCAGTATAAATTGTAAAGTATCTAGAGATTTGCTATTGGAGAGTTTTGAATGGTGTGTTTGCCCTGGGCTCAATTACCATTCTACTTGATAAAGTTATGGAAAAATATATAAACTCACTCTTCAGTGGGTATTACATAAGATTAGTGTATCTTGTCAAAATTCAAATAGACTTACTAATACTAGATCTCTGCACTTCACAGTGGAGGTATTCTGTTTACAATGCTAGTCTTTTCTAAATAAAATTCATGTGTAGCTACAATGTTCTGACCAATCCATTTTTCTCATGATACAATCTTTTCTCTAGGCATTGTGTGGCAGCTCTATCAATGTGCCAACAATAGAAGGAAGAACCATACCCATGACAGTAAATGAAGTTGTAAAGCCTGGGATGAGAAGAAGAATTATAGGATATGGTTTGCCATTTCCCAAAAATCCTGACCAACGTGGAGACTTAATTATAGAGTTTGAAGTAATTTTCCCAGATAACATTTCTCCAGCATCAAAAGAAGTACTTAGGCGAAATCTTCCAGTTTCGTAAAATGAGGACTATGTCAACTGTTTAAGCAGGACACTGGAAATGCAGAAGACTGGCAAGTCTGTGCTTTAAAAGTGCAATGTGTAACAACTAGTGGAATATCTGTTTGTTTTCTTTTTTGTTTGTTTGTGGGTTGGGTGGGGGGAAATATCGTAATGCTGCATGAGAAGAAAAGAGTTAAGTACAAGTCATACGGATGACTTCTGCAGTATAATTTACAGGGAAAACCACTCATATTTTATATTAGATCTTCCTAATCAGAAAAGCTTATTCAGTATTTTGCTTAATATAAAGCGTAGTCAGTTTTAACAAAGCCAATGCATATTTCTGATAAAGTACTCAAGCCACCAAGTACTTTTATTCCTTATATCCCTACTCTATCTAACATAAACAGTTTATACAGAAATTGGATGTGGTAGAAGTATACACATGCGAACACTTTAAATTACAAAACAGTAAGGATGCTACTTGGTATGTTGCTTTCCACTGCACAAAGCATAGTCTGGGAAAATCAGCTTGAACTCCTAAATTGCCCCCCATTGAAATCAAAGTATTTTCTTTATTTCATCAGAATGTGAGGGGTCTGCATTAGAAGTCTAGGAAAGAGCATGTATCTTGAGGAGAAAGTAGCTGTTTGTTGAGTGGTTCCTCATGCTTCAGGCAGAACAGCAAGAAAGGATTGTACAAGTACATATACAGCAAGTGTGGGCCTGCTGTCAAATGAGACAGGGAAATTGGGTGACAAATAACGTAGAGAAGTCTGAGATACTCAGTGCCTTCTTTGCCTCAATCTTTACCGATAACACAGTCATGACCAGGAGTCAGCCCGCTGAAACCAGAAGGGAGTCCTGAAACAAGGAAGAGGTAACCTCAGTGGTGGTGAACCAACATAGAGATGCATTAAACTAAATATACAGAAATCCATGACACCTGACAGGTTGCATGCAGAAGTGCTGAAGAATCTAGCTAATGCCTTTACAGGCCTCTCAATTATCTTTTAATTTGAGAAAGGTTTCTGTAGACTGGTAAGAAGCAAATATCGCTCCTATCTTCAAGAAAAGCTAGAGAGAAGAAATGAGGAATTACCAGCAAGTCACCCTTAATGCAGTCCCTGGGAAGGTGAGAAGGAATATCCTCCCAGAAAGCATTTTCAAACATGTGGAAGACAGTAATGCAATTTAAGGTCAGCATAGATTTACAGAGGGGGAATCATAGTTGACCAACTTGATTTCATTCTACAGTGTGGCGATTAGCTTGGTGGATAATGGAAAAATAGTCTGAGTTCTTTACCTTGACTTTAGTAGGCAAATTGACAAAGTACAGATAGATAAGTGGACAATGAGATGAATTAAAAATGACTGAATGAGTGGCCACAGGGGTTTTGTTATCAGTGTCACAAAGTTCACTTGGAGGTAAGTCACTAGTGGTGTATGCAAATGCTCGATACCGTGGCCAGTAATATTCAACATCTTTGTTAAAGACCTGTATGATGGAATGGAATGCACACTCAGCAAGTTTGCATGTCACACAGAACTGTGAGGAGTGGCTGATAACACCATGTTGATTGTGCTGGCCTTAAGAGGGGCTTTGGTGGTCCAAAAAAACCATACAGAGGAAAAAACATACAGTTCAGTGAGTAAAAATTTTGCTCCCTGAAGTATTACTGAGGTATCAGTACAGTCTTGGGGCTTGCTGTCTGGAAAGCAATTTTGCTGAGAAAGGGCTTTGAGTTTCTGGCAGACAACAAACTGACCATGAACTAGCAATGTCCTTGCAGCAAAACAGGCTAATGGTATCCTGGGTTGCACTGGGAAGCCTTGTGAGTAGATTGAGGGAGGTAATCCTTCTCTACTCCTCACTAGTGAGGCTGCATCTGTCATACTGTGTCCTGTTGTATGCTCCCCAGTAGAAGGAAGACAGTGGCTTGATGGAACAAGTCTATGAGAGATTGAGAGAACTAGAACTCTTCAGTCTGGAACACAGAAAGCTCAGAGGGTTCTTATAAATGTGTACAAGCATTTGGAAGGAGGGATCTTCTCAGTATCACCCAGTGTTGGGACAAAAAGCATGGGGACAACTTAATACACCTTTTTTTTTTTTTAATACTGCAAGGGTGGTCACAGACTGTTGAGTATCTATCTGTGGAGATGCTCAGAACCAAACTGGACAAAGTCCTGGGCAGCCTGGTCTAGCTGGCCATGATTGAGGAGATTTGGGTGATCACCAGAGGTTCCTTCCAACCTAGAAGATTCTGTGTACACTGACTTAGGAACCTTTTTCAATAGACAGTATTAAGGACCATGCTCTGTAATTGAGGCTTAGTCCAAAGATGGGTGATGCTGATGTGACAGCTTGAATCCATAGGGAGTAGGTTTTTGGGTGGAAAGATGTATAAAGAACACTGTAGAAGTGTACCATAGAGCAGATATAGTTGACATCAAGTTCAGACCTTGAAAATAATGCAGATTTTAACTTAAAGAAAGAAAATCCCAGGTCCTATCTAAGGAGAAGTCTGCTGAAGACATGAAGTAGGATAGGGGTTACCCACAAACTTCTACGTGCTTGCATTGAGTCTTTTCTGAATACAAATATGACTTATCTTTGGAGTTAAAAGGTGCATAGGGAAAAGGAAAGCCCTCTGTAATAGTCTAGTTTTGTAATATTGTAATAGGGCTGGTTCCCTGCATTTTGGTGGAAGAAATGCCTTGCAGATTTGTTCTTGTTACTTGAGTTTAAAATATAATAGAGTGCTTTAGCAACAGTTTCAGAGAATGCTTTTCTTCATAAGAAGAAAATATATAGAATTTGCTGTTAGCCTTTTGACTGTGGAAACTCAGTAGTTACCTGCTTTGTTAGGTAGCTTAAGAAATAGCAGTATTAACTTCATATAAACGCTTTTCTGTGGGAAAGTAAATAATATGGAAGTTGGGATTCAATTTACAATAGCTTTTTAATGAGCACAAAAAATTCCATTTTTGTTACTCAAAGAAATAGAACTTCTGGAAGATACTGTTCAAATAATTTTTCAACTGCGGATCTCTTTGTATGTTGTCAGTTGTAGTCCTACAACTGCAGTAGATGTACAAGGAATGAAACAATTGCTGGAGCAGTATCACAAAGGGCAAACTTAGCTGCTTAATGTTTCTGTGTATTGTTGACACTATATCTTGTTTGTTGAAAAAGTTCCCAATATGTACTGTATTGCATTTCTTATGTGGTTTTTAAGTAAAAAGTGTAAAGTTGTTTTTTCATTTTCTCTCATCTTTTGTTATTTTGGCAGATGCTGAAATCTATTTGACTTAAGAAGTGTATCATCCTAAAATATGTGTATGTTACTTTAAAAGTTAATGGAATTGAAATTTTGTAATCCAGGATCTTGTAACATTAGTCTAACTTGTATAAAAAAAAAACAACAACAACAACAAAAAAAGCCCCTCAATTACAGCACGTTATCTCTTGTAACTATTTTCAGGTAGGAAAAGTAGTGTTCAATTTAGGATTTGCAGTATCCTGTGCACTTAAAGGCATATGTACAGCAAACTTCTTTTTTTTTTTTCCCTAATTGTTTTCATGCTCAAAATTCAGAAGAACTGTAGAATTGGTATGAATTTTTTATTTTTTTTAATGGAGAGATAACAAAGCATACATTTCAAAAAATAGCACATGAGATTACTTCAAAGTATGAGAGAGGGCATTAATCCAGGATTTGCAAGAAAGAAGCACACTTTTAATAGTGAAATGTTAAAAGCTATGTTTTAAAAACCGCTTGATTATTGTAAGTAAAGGCTGTGTGGGAGACAGAGGCAAATAACTCAGTCACCTGCTATATCTTTAACTACTAAAATATAAATGCAAATAAATTCATTAACCTGGGAGGACAGTGATATTTTTAATCTCCTGAAGGTTGTTTAAGTGTCATACACAGCAAAACCTATTTGGTTAGTTCAGAGAAGTTCATTCTTAGACTTTCTGATGTCATAAGACTATTAGCATTCCATTGTTTTATTCCAGTATTCCTTGTATAATTGAAGACTATGTAAAGCCTGTTTGTGGTGTGTTGAGGAAGTGCTGTGGTTTGGGGATGGTTTTGAATAATGACCCATTTTCTTGTTTAGGGAAGTAAGATGCTTTGTAGCTGGGATTGGGTCTCTGCTATTATTTTTTTCCACCTTCATCTTTTAACTTTGTGGATGCTTACTCCCATTTATTTCTTGTGAAGTGTAAGTAGACTTCATTTGCGTGTCCTCTTTTATTATTCACCACCTACTTTACATATGACCATCAGTCCAAACGTTACAAACAATGCTGAAAATGGGCAACATGTATTGTGATAATTGGTGAAATGGGGTTAACAGTGTTTTGAGTCTCAGGTGCAATAGTTCTAATATTTTTAGTGGGTGCTCGAAAACTCAGGCATAAGGAGACATCTCTAAGATTGATTGTACAGTGAATAAATAAAGATCTGTAAATGGTTATGTCTTCAGTGCCAATGAACCAAAGCACATAGGAAATGCTCTATGGCTGGCTTGGTTGCAAAGACACTGTCTGAGCTGTGCACCTAAAACTCTCAACCTTGCATAGTTTTGCTTAGGTACTGGAGGAGAGAATGTCACCAGTTGTCTTTTGGATAATCTATCATTAGTTGTGGATTAGCTTTTTTTTTTGTTTTGTTTTTTTTTGTTTTTTTTTGTAGGATCCATACAAAAATAAAATCAGTGCCCTAGATGGTGGTGATGTACTTCGCCAAGAGTGAGTTCTGCTTCTTGCTAAGTGCCATTAGCATCGTGCTTGTGTAAAACAAATTTACCTTATTAATTACTCATGCTTTGTGTTAACAATATCTTGAGACAAACTAGCTGACGTACATTTTGAGGTAAGAGAAAAACAATAGTAGTGTCCAAAGGTTGTTTTCCTTGGCCTTTGCTGAGATTGTGTGACCTTATACTTATCTGCATCCTCTTTTCTTCTTTGAAGCACTCGGTAGGTATAGGCAAAATGTTTTAATTCCAAAAACCTTTAAGTCTTAAGATGTTTTTGCTACTTTGTAGTGTCTTGGTGTTTGTGAAGTTTCTTTTATTGCGTTAATACTAAAAGTAGAGGAGGACTACTGTTACTCCCTTTGTGTCTAGCAACTCTGTGTGCTTGTTTTGTTCCACTGTAAGTCCTAGCCTACCCAAGCAACAATCTTGTTAGTCATGCCTGATTGCTTTATCAAGGACAAGCTATTCTTTACACTTACTGCCCCACATGATTAAAAAAACCCAATATGCACTGAGCCAGTTCTTGAAATACCTTGCAGGATTTCCATGTACGTTCCAAATGGAACGTTCCAAAAGCATCTGAATTGTGCATATTCTTCTTTAAAGAAGAGTTGAGAGAATGAGTTAAATGAGAAGTAGTCCATGAAAGAGGACTTAGGTGTAAGTCTAGTATGGACCAAGAAAAACAGTGCTAAACAATTACATATATTTTTATTTTGCTCATGCACCACCCAATTGATCTTATGTGATAGGTAGTGGAGATCAAATTCCGGGGATCTGCTCTTTTCCCCTGTTAAGTCACAGTTTGAAACTTGAAGTCAGCACACAAAATGAGTTTGTTGCTGTGATGTGGACTTTCACAAATGCTCTCATCTAGTTGCAGTTTTTCACAAGCCAAAGCTAAAATACAAATATTTGATGCAGTATGGCTGTACTCTTAGAAGGTCGGTAAAATCTGGTAAAGGATTTCATTCCCTTTCTGTCACAGAAGAAATTCTGTTCAAGCTCCTGACTTAAAAATTTTATTTCATCCTCCGTTTTCTTAAAAGGCCTTGTTTTGTAGCATGACTAGGAAACTTCAGTTTCATTTATATGATAACTTTTTTAAATTTAAAAAACAGCAGATCTCAAGGTACTAGCACTAAACTCTATTTTCTTTCAACTTAATTTTCGTTAAACTAAGCAAGATAAGGTCCTGTAATGTCTTATAAAACAGGTTCTTTGTTCTGTAGTCAAAATCCTTTTAAGCTCTTACTTCCTTTTGGAATATAAATGACCAGAAAAAAACAAGATTTTTTGCAGGTAAGAGCTCCTCAAGTCACGGATTCATGTATCATGTGGAGTGAAACAGTTTTGTATACACTGATGCGTTAGAACACTGTTGCATTTCATCCTTAGTAGTATGATTCAACTCTGTTCCCAGCACATTCTTAATAGACATGGCTTTTGCATGCCATAGTTCTTGCATCCAAAATACTTCTGCTGAGGAATTGATGCATTGTGCAAAATATTAGTAGGATGAAAGGTAAATAACCAATTCTCTTTTTAATGTGAGATTTTACTTTCTATAAAACTATTGCAAGTAATGAGTAACATTTTAATTTCAGTGATTAACTTTCTGCAGTGTCACTAAAAATGCAATTTAAGTTCTTTTTGGATCTCAACTTTCCTGAACTGCTGAAAGCTTAATTGAATTCATGACCTAGTTATGATGTGTTACTTACTGTGGGCAGATATTTTCCTGATGGGTACAGATTTGAGAAAAGAACTGCTTGTAGTTGGAGAAAAAGTCTTGTGCCCATTATAGGCTTTCTTTTTCTTTGAGGTGCTCAGCAGTCTGACTCATTTCTAGGTCCATAGATCACTCAGTCCACACTACTATACTGGTTAAATCTGAGTGATTGAAGCTCCTAACTCATGATCAGAATATCGATAAGTAGCATTTGTAGCTCATCAAGAAACAAGTACAAGTAGCGCATGTGAAACTGAAGCTTCAGTTTCCTAATCAACGTTTCTTAATGATTTCTTGTCAAAGCTGGAAACCGCTAATGGTAACGATGTAGATACTGTCCTAGATTTGGCTTTAAAGAAAAACATAGCATATGTGTACTTTTTTTCTTCTGGTTTAAGGGGGGAAAAAAAAAAAAAAGAACCAAAAAGCACTCATCACTTTAATTTTACCTCCTATGTAAATAATGATAGTATATATATGTTTCATATTTGTATTAACAGTGTAATATGATCTTCAGTTTACTTGGTCAGCTGTGCTGGTTTCTCACTGCTTTTTCTTTCTGTGGTTAAAAGCTGTTCTTCCAAGTGGGATCAACTTAATTCTGTTACAAGTTTAGCTGCCTATTTCTGTCTGTCCTTTATAGATAGATCAATGCATGGAAGCATAACACTTCAGTAAGAGGAGGTTTTGAACATTCCTAAATTAGGGCTACGTCAGTGTCCATGGGACTGAAATAAATCTGCTCATCTTCTGCTGTATATCTGCTGTATAATCTGTGTATTGAAATTTTTTGTTTCCATTTAACTCAATTGCTAACATCAATAATGAACAGCAATTGATTTTTAACTTTGATTCAGTTATGATTTCAGAAGATAAGGAATGAGTTACAAGAGATCAAGATTGGTGGGGACAATAACTGTATTACTGAAGAATTAGTGACATTGACATTTTAGTAAGTGGGCAAAGGCATGTTTTATAAGAAATACCTTATTGAAAAATAGCGTAACAGTGAAAAACCAAAATATCAGGATGTTTGGACATGAGCCATTTGGTACTGTCTTTTAATTTTATCTCACTACAATCTCAGTTTATGCTAATGTTCTCTCAGTTCTATTCCAATATTGGAAAGGGAAGGTTCATACAGTTTTCCAAGTTCAGAGAAATCTTGAATTTTCAGTTTTCTGGTTTCAAACTGGTCTTGGAAGGTCAATTAAAGTCTGATGGTAAGTTTATTCTCTGGTGTATTTTACTGGTGGAAATTGCTGGAAAATTAATACCTTTGATTTACTGGATAAAAGTTACACAGATTATTCTATTAAACATATCACATGCTGTCTGGAAAGACCCAAATCCAGCTGACTTCAAAACCTTTATCTTCCCCCAGTAACAGAATTGTAACCATTTTATGTATTTTCTGGTAAGTGCTAGATACTCTCCAAACAACTATACTAGAATTTCACTACAGATTACTTCTTCATCATCCTCTTCAGCCTGCCTTTCTGCTCTGATTCTGTACACCAGAATCCTTTTTTTGTTTCTTCTGGGTGTTTTGTGTTTCCTAAGATGTGGAAGATAAAGCAAAGCAGTGCTGCTTCTCTCTGCGACTCTACAGCAGATTCCTGTGGAAGTGCTGGATGCTATTTCAGGAATCTTCCTCTCTTCACATCTTGACCATTCAAGATGTGGAGTAAATGCACCACTGAAAATGAAGTTATTCCACTGAGGTGAGTTTAGCTATGCTGGAGCACAGCAGAGGTCTTCTGGGAATATATTTCTCTGTTTTGGGTGATGGAAACACTTGAAATCCACTAAATGTTAGAAAAATAGTTTTCTAACATGTTAAATCTCAATACTGCAAAGCTGTTGTCCATTACAGCAATGTCTTTAAACCTTGCTTATATGGCTGTAGCTGTGTTAATTCTTGGGAGGTTTACAGTATGCCAAGTCGTGGTAAAAAGGCAAGAGCTGGCAGAAGCCCTTACCTACTTTGTGTTTTCTTCTATAACCTGAATGTAAACCTCTGTGATCAGTATTTAGAACAACTTTATTCCTAGTTGAAATTCATGAGCCTATTCATTGGAAAGATGGTAGTCTTCCTACAAAATGGCTTTGTGTATAAATTAGAGACTTTAAAGGTATATATAAATAGATTTCATAGCATATGCTTTGTAATATCCAAACAGAGGAAATGAAATGAAAAGATGTCTGTGCTGGCCAGTTTAGGGAACATGAACCGTCTTGGGCTGAGTAGGTGTTATTGGTGTGATCTTACTGAAAGTGCCCTTCTAATAAACCCTTCCTAATCAATCCTGTGGGCAGGAAACGTTTATGTACAGGAATAGCTCTTGTCCCGGGTCCGTGTTACTTTGCTTTCTCGTGGGGGGTGGCCCGGGGGCTCCCGGTGTCGCTGCCCTCCCTGACGGTGCTTCTCCCCCTGCGTGCGCCCCAGAAGCGGGGCGGGGCGGGAGGGCTCGGGCCTCACCTGGAGGCGGCATGGCCGCACCGGGCCGGGGCGGCGCCGGGGGCAGAGTCCAGCGCGAGGACCCGGCGGCCGGAGCCCGCTGCAGGCGCAGAAGATGCCCCTGGGTCTGGGGACCAGGAAGAAGGGCAAGTCCAAGGAGACCTCCAAGCTGGTGGACAGCGAGGCTGCGGCCCCACCGCCCGCGGCGGAGGCTCCGGCCCCGGCGGCGAGCGCCTCGCGACTGCAGTTCCACACGCAGCTGGCGCACGGCAGCCCCACGGGCCGCGTGGAGGGCTTCAGCAGCGCCCGCGAGCTGTACGCTAAGATCGCTGAGGTGTTCGGCATCGCCCCTACTGAGGTAGGGCCCCGGCGGGAGGGCGGCTTTGCGTTCCGTTACGAGCGAAACTGCTGCTTCCGAGCGAGCGTTTACATGTGCGAAAGGGCGTAAGTGTAACCGCGTTTAACTTCTACGCGAAGAAAAACCCGGTCCGTCTGCCGTCATGATGAACTTCCCGTCGGCCCGCTGTTAGCGGGGCTCCGCAGCGCTGGGTCACGCCGGGGTGCGGTGGATTAATTATTTCCAGTGAGGGGTTTTTGCCTGCGGCCGTTCTTGCCGCAATCGAGGACAAACCAGCGGGCTGCTGGGGGTCCGTGCCTGCGGCGAAGGCAGCGGGGTGACGCGGAGTGCTGGGCTGGGAACCCACAGCCTCTAAGAGCAACTGCAGCGAAGGCTGGGAAGTTTTTGCCGGATCGTTAAACAGCGTCCTTTTAATTGAGATTATTTAAACTCGTAATAAGAATTTATTTGATTTATTACTCTGAAGCCTTTTTAATTCTTATTTTATTTTTTTAAGTTTTATTTTTCATCCGAGCTAAGCTTTAAACATTTGTTTAGATTGCGAATCACTTGTTTGCGGCCGCATTGTTTTCCCGTAGCTGGAAGGCAGGGGCCGTATCAGGTTCTGCCGTGCCTACGTGGTTCTGTGAACCTTAACTTCTGAGTGGAAATCGAAAGAGAATGCTTAAGCGTCCAGAGGTCCCCATGTGTCAGTGCCGCTTCTCTTATGTGTGGTAGCCTCTTCTGAAGTGCCATGGACTCTGCTGCAGATTTTATTCTGGGGCCGGCTGCCCTGACCCAGCAGCATTTCACACAGTAAATTACAGAAGTGTCAGTAGTGGTGAATACAGTTTAACCAGTCGCTGTTGCATTAAGTAATTAAGCAGTACCTTCCCAGCTGCTCTGACCTTCTGCTTCTCTATTTTCTTTCCATACTGAGCTTCTGTTCCCTTTTGTTCTCTGTTCAATCTCCAGTTGTATCTTTAACTCTCAAGTTCTCTAATTGTCAGATTGGCTTCTGTGTTAATTTTGTTCTTACTGAACTTTTGTTACCAATCTCATGGCTCTGCTGACTCAATAGCATTCACCAGGAAATTCAGTTCTGGAGGAACAGCGCTTTTCCCATTTCTCCTTCTAGGTGGATAATCTGGCACTTCTACAGGTTTTATTAAACTAAGTAGAGTCTTAAACTGGAATTTTCTTTTTTTTTTCCTTTGTTTTCACTGTCCTACTCCTATGTTTTTTTGTTTGTTTTTTGTGTGTGTGGTTTTTCTTGTGTGTGTTTTTTTTTTAATGTGGTTTATTGGTAAAAACAGATGGGGAAATAGTGCTAAAAGCACTGAACTTACAATCACAGAATCATTTGAATTGGAAGAGACCTCCAAAGGCCATCTAGTCCAACTCCCCTGCAGTGAACAGGGACACCTACAGCTTCATCAAGTGCTCAGGCACTGTCCGTCCTGACCTTGAGTGTCTCCAGGGATGGGGCACCTACTGCCTCTGGCAATCTGTTCCAATGCTTACTTTTTTTTTTTTTAACTCAAGAAATTCAGCTGGCTTGAAGAAACAACGTTGAATGAAACAAAAATAGTAATAAAAATGACTTCCTGAGCTGAGTGAAGAATCTGAACCTGATTAATGTGACAAAATTCTGATAGAAAGAAGTAGGATAAATCTGTGGCAAGTATTGCCGTAAAACATAAGAGTTTGCTGATGGCTGCTAAACTTGCTGGAAGTAAGGGGGTACCAGACATTTTAAATAGTATTATCTACTGATTAATGCTGCTTTTGTATAGTCTCATGTAAAGCATAATGCCTGAAGCAATACTTCCTTAAGCTGAAAGACTGAGGTACTCAAATGCCACATACAGGTGTTATCTGTCTAGGAAAGTTTCTGTGACCCGAGTGCCCTGAAGCCTGGCAGTGTGATACCTGAATGCCTTTGGAAACAGGCATATCACAGAGATCTCTGCCCTGCAGTCACCAAGGTGGAAAATAGACAGAGAAGGAGTGAGGGGAGGAGCTCAGTATAGAGAGCAGTTGGCGAACCACCGCTGCAATGTAGGTAGGGGAATGGATTCTTGGATAAGTTCCTACTTAAGCATTTCGGCACAGTGCAAGATGAGCTACACTTGTAAGCTGTCTCTTCTTTTGACTCAGCATGGCTGCAGCACCTCGTTTCCTCTTTGTATCATGTCGTTCAGTACAAGCTGCATTTAGTTCTGCTGGACAATCCTTTCCAGGCTCGGTGAGTGAAACCGATGTAAAATGCAGTTTTTGTTTGAAAGACTCTGAAGAATCAGTGCAGAGTGACAGAAACTTCTGTGCAGACCTTGATTGAAAGTAGGGTAGGATGAGTGTTGGACAACACCAGCCTAGATTTGAAGGAGCTGCTCGATCCTTCACAGCCCCAACGGTGCCTTCCTGAGGCTTTCCCAATACTCACCTCTTCTTGTCCAGTTATTTTATTTTTCATCCATCACCTGAAGATAACATCCCTATTGTCCCTTTTGAACCTGGCTTTTGGCCTGTATTCCTGCCCACCTTGCTCAGTTTTGCCATGCTTTTTTTTTTTTTTTTTTTTTTTTTTTTTTTTTTTTTGGTCCAAACCAGCTGGTTCTTTGCACAAGGGAGGAGAAGTGCAGCCTGTATGACAAAGAAATGAGCACTGACTAAAGGACAACATGGATCTGTTAAAGCATTTGCTGGTGTGCTCCTGTGACAGTACATTGTAGGGCTTTGAATTATCCAAAATGGCTAACCAGGCACTTGAAAGTGAATATTAAAATCTAACTGTAGCAAGACTACTACTTCTTCAGATGGGAGGGAATGGTAAGTGATAGCTATACAAGCTTTCGGTTTGCATACTCATAGCTCACACTTCTGATTATGTTGTTTGCTTTGTAAGGTGAGGTGAACTGAATGCTTAGTGGGTGCGTCTAATAAATGCCTGTGAAGGCTGAGATATCTAATGTGATGAAAGGACTTCTACATTATAAGGGGAAGAGAGGAACAGGGAAGCCTTTCCAGTAGCACCTAGAGTAGAAAAGCAGCTGCCTCTCTCTTCCAGCAATAGGAGCTCAGCTGCTGAGCTTGTGCCCAGGCTGCTGTTCTGTAGCATTGCCTCCTGATGCTAGACAGTTAAGTATACAGTAAGGCTCAGCCACATTAAACTTTCACAGATGTATTTGATTTAAACCTGTTCAATTTAAACTTTTATGAAATCGCTGAAAAATAGCCAAAACTGAACAATAGTGTTGAAGCAACTTCAGTAAGTTTCTTTTTTTTTTTTTCCACAAGAGGAAAAAAATGCCAAAACATAGTTTAGAAGGCTGGACAATCGGTTTGTGAAATTTACTAAAATATCTGGAGTTTGAGTACTCACCTGTCTATTGAAATGAATTCTCTCAATCTCATCTGAAGATTGAAGCAAAGCAAATTCAAATGATCAAAGATGACACTGCCTCCAAACCACCTCCTTTCAACACATTGGCAACAAGTGTTTATTGCTGTTCCCTGAGGTGCTTGTATTTGATACTGTGGTGCATGCAATGCTTGCTGTGTTGATGATCTGCTTCTCAGATGCTTTTTAGCTGTATTTTTGTAGCTGAAGGGAGAGACTTGCTCTATTTCTTGTACATTCTGGAGTTTCTTTCTTTTATTTTTTTTTAAACAACAAAACACTGAAGGCTTACTTTATAGTACTATGAATATATCTGGGGAGACAAAGTTGCCTGCCTGATAAAGTACCAAAACCACACTGAAACCAAGAGGATGTGGTTACTCTCCTTGTTGCTGCAACAAGTTGAGGCTCCTGCATTTTCCTCAGGGAGAATGAAGTGAGTAAGGTAGGTAGAAAACATGATGGTGGCTTCTTGATATAGATGACGCCTACATATAGAGGGAAATATGTCAGTGGGTGTTATATTCTGCTCAAAAGTAGAAGTCCTCAGCTTCTTAAGTAACATAATTATGATGTCCTTTGTAAAGGTATATGAGCTCTACTGAGTCAAAAAGTGCTTTTAATAGCTTCTCATGTTACCACTCAACTTATTTTTGAAATCTTTTAAGGTTTAGGCTTAATGTGGAAGTAAAGAAGGTGATTAATAAAGCATATGCAATAAGGTACTGCGTAGGTACTTCATATAACACATAGCGTAACCCTCTTCCTTATCTAATGCAGTTTCTTGCTTTGTATAAGACTATAACCTCATTTTTGTTGACTGGTGTCTCTTACTATTGAAAATATGGATGCAGGAAATAATTTGTTAGTAATCTTATCTGATGAATCTATTTTACAAGGTCTCTGCCAGCCAAATGGAATTTCCTTCTTCTTTCTGCTGTGTGAGATAACTCAGTGAAGGAGGTATCCTAGATATTTCAGGACTGGTGCAGCAGCTACGATTTATAATACCTTGCCACAGTTGGCATGAAATGTCACAGCACAGTTATGCTGAGCTGAAGATCAAATGCACATGAAGGTTAAGGGTGAGAAGGGAAAGAAAGGGCTTTGCGATGGAAATTACTCATTGATTTTTCTCTTGTTTCTTTTCTGGGTAAGAAAATTACTATTTAAAATTATACAGAGTTTTGAGTGGGTGACAAAGTGCACTACAGTAGCTGTTGTTTTAATTAGATACACAAACTGTTATTAGATACCTATATTAACATAAAACTTAAGAAAAAAATATAAATTTTCCATTGGCAGTCCTCAGTCATGTACAAATAAAGCTATGCTATAACTGATGGTGTAACTGTATATTATCCTGGGTGGATGCATCTTTAGTGCATTACTCTTTGAAGATATCTGTTCTGAGAAAAAGCAGTTGTTCACTAAAGAGGATAAAGGATGATTTAAGTGTTATTTTTGACTGGTTGATGTTCTCTCAGCCTTGTGGTTAGTATGGAACTGACTCACTGAGAATTCTGGAGATTTATAGGCTATAGTGGGGAATACCATCCAGATGAAGGTCTAAAAAGAGAAACTCTGGATCAAGTTTCTAAATATCACATTTCTGCTCTGTTGCCAGTTTTATCTATTCAAAGGTGTGACAGTGATTACTACATGATTGTCTATTTGACAAGGTCAGGTGAAGGATATTAATGTCTAAAGTGTAAAGCCATAGGGCTTGTTGTTCACTGTAAGAAATAGAACTGAGTTGCAGTTGTACACTTGGCTGAGTTATGTAGCTTGCAAGAAAGCTGAGTATATATGTGGATTTTATATAATCTGTTCAGATTGAAACTTTTTCGTTTTGAAAAAAAAGTCAACGATTAGCTGTGATTAGTACTAATAAAATAAAATATTCTGATTATAGCCATATGAATTTCTCTAGGTTATATTATTTTGTAAGTGCTTATTAACTTGAAAAAGTTTTGCATTACTTGAGAGAATAAAATTGATGTCTGTTAAGTGCTGTTGTGACTGTTGTTACTAAGGCATTGGGTTGGAGTGTTTGTTTGATGGATTATCAGATAAGTAATTAGTCTGTTTTAGTTGTTTTGTTTTTTCGAAAGAAATAACTAAAGACTCCACCAATCTGTAATCTCCATCTCACTACTAAGCTTTCGTTTTTCAAAAGTGGAAGGACAGAAGACATAGACCCCGCATTCTATATGAATGAGGAAAACAAAATGCTCTCTCTGAAATACACTAGGAAAAGCATTTGTTCTAGGAAAGAACTGAATAGTGTGATTGCTTTCATTTCATTTTTCTTTTTCTGCCATCATCCAGTGACACTAGAGTGAAGAAAAGGGCATTTGAAGCGTTCTGGGGCTGAAATCCACATTTTGTAGGTGTGATGGGGAAAGAAAGGAAGCCGACATTTCCATTAGAGCACCAGGGGTTCTGCAGGTGCTGATCTATACCTGTGACTAGGAGCAGTTAGACTCCACACATGGCTGCCACTAGAGCAGCAGTAGAGCTGTAGGACACTGTGACATCCCACTGCTGTTTTTGTCAGATGCATCCCGCTGGCAGCAATGCAGGCGTAACATGATGATGTCTCTTGCCAGTGGCTTGCACCTGTGGCAGAGGCCAAATGCAGTATAAAGCTGCCTCCTCCTCCTCCTCTCCTGCTTTCAGTTCTACTTGAAATACGGTCTTGAGGGAATCATTTACCTCAGATGTAGATCTTAGGGATGGAGTTTCTCTGGCCTGTGCCCTGTACTCTCTGGCACTGCCTAGGAGAAAGCTGTGTGGGCCGCCCTCAGGCCTTTTTCTTGTCTGACTTCAACTTGGCAAGCAGCTGGCAGATGAAATTGCCTTAGCTGTGAGGTGGAACAGTGGATTTGTTTCTTATTTTCTTGGCTAGACTATTTTCCCTTTGAACATGTGCTACATCAGAATGCCTAACACCTGCCTGGGCTGGCCTGATTCCTCCATACAGCGCTGTGGTGGGCAGACCCCTTGACTGTCCACGAGCAATGCTGCAAGTTGGAGGTTGGTACATGACAAAGAACAAAATCGTGGCTGCTCTTGAGGTGGTATACTCAAGCCCCCCTTAAGCTGTTCAGCTGAAGCTTAAGCTGCTGGTGTCTGGGTTGGTGCCCTGTGGCAGACTGTGAGAGGCTGATTGCACAGATGTGTCCCTTTCCTTTGTTCCCTGCAATCTCATATCTGCTGTCTGAGCTATTGATGCTTCTTGTCATTTTTGTGGATGGCGAGTGTCGCTTTTCCTGTGGCAGCTGGAGAGAGTGAGTTTTTATCATGTCAGTTATGGATCTATCATCAGGGGCTGATAGTGTGCTCTCCTTAAAAGAGCCCATCAGCCTGTCAAATTCACCAAACCTAATAAACTGTTAAACTTCAAGGTAATGTGTTTCTTTCCTTCCTGCACAGATCATGTTTTGCACTTTGAACACTCATAAAGTTGATATGGACAAGCTATTAGGTGCACAGATTGGCCTTGAAGATTTTATATTTGCCCATGTAAAAGGACAACGAAAAGAAGTGGAAGTTCTTAAATCTGATGATTTGCTTGGACTTACTGTTACAGACAATGGAGCTGGCTGTCCCTTTATAAAGGTAAATTTATTTTCCAGTTAAATGCTTTTTTTTTGTAGAAGTTTGTTACCATGGTAGGTTAATTATTACTTTAATGATCCTCTGGAACTATCAAGCCATTTAGCATATGGCAAGTACCAGAAAAAGTTGCTTTTCCTTAGATTTATCATTTGAAATTAGTTCAGCTATTTCTGTACTGCATGTCATTTTTAAATTAGATCATTTGTTTGTTGCTTCTGTGACGTGTATGGGCTTTATGATATGATCGTTGTGTAACCAATCCCAAGATGGAAAGTTTTGCATACTGCTTACGTCTGCTTCCTCTTTTATTTATTTATTTTTTTTTAGTGAGTTTTCTGACATCATTCTTTAGATCCTTACAGCATATCTGTCACTCATTGTCACAAGACTGTATTCTTTCAGTCTTAAAGTGTTTGTGGGGTGAAATCCTGCATGCTCTGTAAGAACAGCTGCAAGTACAGAGCACTTTCAGCTTTCCAATGCTGGCATTGCCTTAGGTAGGATGGATTAAAAGGTGGCGAGGACATGGATTCACAGAGTTCACCCCAATTAGCTTGCATAGAAAATATAGGTAGCAGCGCGTGCAAAGTGTTAATTAATCATAATTACTCTCCTCCTCACCAGCTATAGGCCATTTGTTTTGAGACAAGTAAAGATGGAGGAAATTACAGCACCTTTCCTTCTAAACTAGGTATTAGGAAGTTGCCCCATTTTTTCCAGCCTTTCTAGGTGCGCTGCTTTAATCTACTCCAGTTAACTGTTACTAGTGAGACACCGGAAATTATGTTTGATTATTGGTGTCTCAAATGCTGATCTTATTGCTAACAGAGCTTCTTGTATGTAGAGATTGTATTCTCTATTCGTTTCTTAGCTACCAAGGATATAAAAAGTAGGCTTGCTTGTTGTTTAAAAAAAAAAAAAAGAAAAGTGATAGAGATTGCTCTTGACAAAATTGAGATGCAGTGGAGGCTTCAGCAAGCAAGTCTGGCAAAATTGCATCCTCATTTTTATGTTTAGAGATAGGGAACTCTGAATTTTCAGTGGTAGTATCAATGCAACCCATAACACTGTCACACTGCCACTCATGTCGCATTTTAAAAGAATACATTGGAAGCACTGCTTCAAGTTCGCTTGTGCAGCACTGTATAGAGCATGACTTTCTCTGTCCATGGTTGGTAATAGGGGAAGAGGAAAACAGCAATCGCATTGACTGCTGTATAATTTGAGTGGACTGGAAAACCCTCACTACATCAGTAAGCTGCAGTTTCCAGGAAATTGTATAGGAATTGTCTGACTGCATATAATGTTGTTACTGTATTGTTGCAGTAATAAGTGTAACTGATGTGGTGATGTCTTCATGGGAAGGCAATTCCACATCATTTTAAAAGACTTTCTGCAAGATTGCTTTGTTACTGTTGCATATTTAGCTAATGGCTAACTTAAACAGCAGAATATGTACATGTATGCAAAAGTAAAAGCTGTATGTATTATATATTTAGTTGACTAGCTACATCACTAAGCAGAAACTGACTTTACTTAAAAAATATTTTGGAATTATTCCCTTATATTTTCATGGGAAATAAGGATTCTAGCTTCTACACATTCTCTAGAGCTTGAAATACAAGCATATCAATTGCATCTTAATTACTATGACATTATAGTTTGACTGTCTTGAGTCAGTTAACTTGGAGTGCTGTGTCTCATAAAAAAAAAAAATTGTTTGAATGCTGCATGAATGGTATTATCAAGTAATACTACTTAAACAGTATTGGTATTAGGATCCAAGTGAAGAAGAAAAGATAGAAAGAATTCAACAGTTAAACTGAACATGAAGTGTGGCAGATACAATTTTGAACCCTGGCAATAGAAATGCATTTGGAGCCTAGTTTCTTGTTTGTATACAGTACTGCTCTCTTCTTTTACCAGAAGTCTTTGTTTTCAATCTAGGTTAAACAGCAATAACAAAAAGTGCTAGAATGAGTTAAGCTCTGCGTGGAGCTAAAAATTGTTGCAGTGTCTTATAGGACAGTGAGCACTATCACACTTCCTACTTACTCTCTCAGATGGAGGCACATATGTGGGCTTAGACATGTGCACATGAACTAGAAACAGGTTTTTAAGACAGTTAGCAGCTAGGGAAAGTGCTACAGTATTAGGTGGAAATATGTTTATCTCCCTTGTCTCGCTGTAAACTTAAAGCCAGCCTGAAACCAGCCTTAGTCTTTATTGAAATGTACATTATTTAGGAAGATTTTCAAATGATATCTGTATCTGTGCAAAATAGAAGACATTTTAGAACGTCATAGCTTTTGTATTAAATAGGATAATGGCTTTCATGACTGGAGCGTGATAAATATGACAGCATTTAACAACAATAAACTGAATCACTGAAATCTTAATTGTCCTTTAATTGACTTGATAAATCATAGAGATCTTTTAATGATTGTTTTTTCCTCACTTTAAATTGAACTTTGGAAAAACTATGAATATTAAATTCGGTTTCATTTTATGACCTCTGCTTCTATGCCACTTGTATTCCCTGAAATAACATTTGTAAGCATTTATTGTCCTTCATTGTTATTTCACAGGAAATAACTTACCATATGCAGTTATATAGTTAAGTGAGGAAAATTGTAGAAATTCACTCATAGATAAGCCTTATTAAGATTAGACTTACATAGTACCTCATTTTTTAGTATATCACATATATTTTTTTGTATGTCACAGGACTACACGAGAGAAGTTTTGTACCTATGCTTGTCAGAGTATTAAAGTCAAAAGATGACATTCACATTACTGGCACATTGGGTACAGTTTTAAAGCAAAAAACAAACAAACAAAAAAACCCAAAAAACAAAAGCCCAAAACATTAGCTTACTCAGAAGCCTTAACTTCTGAAGTATGATTGCATTTTTTTTTCTATTGTTGATTTTATATGCAATGTATATTAAAGTACTTTGTTTAAAAATAATTTTCTAAAATGTCTTTTATGGCATAAATCTTAAAGTCAAAATGTCCTGCTGGCAAAACAAACTCAGTGCTGTTGATATTTTTACCTGACATTCTTGAATCTGTCACCTCTTTACCATTTCAAAAAATGTTTCTAATTATTTTCTGTTTTTTTAAACAATAGCGAATCAGAGAAGGGAGCCTTATGGACCAAACCAAAATGATCTGCGTTGGCGATCACATAGAGTCTATAAATGGAAAAGATGTGTCAGATCTTCGGCATTATGAAGTTGCCAAAATGCTAAAAGATCTGGAGAAAGGTCGGGTGTTTAAGCTGAAGCTGATAGAGCCTATGAAGTCATTTGGTGAGTGTTGCTTGGCTGTTTGCCTTGTTCCCTGGATACTGAACTCCCGACATTGTACTCCACTATAAATCTGTTTTCAGGCAAGGTAATGTAACTGCTGCAAAAAGAGAGGAACATTCTATGTATAGAACAGATATATACATATATGTGTTATGTGTGTGTATGTAAATATAATATATATTTTTCTTGGAGAGGGAATTTTAGGAAGGAATCTTCTTCCATCTGCTTTCTCCAGCAGTTATCCTAGTTTGGGCTGACTCAGCACTGAGTCTCAGTTGCTTGATTTCTTTGCTACCACATGGCAGTGCAGAATAAGTACAAGTTTGATAGGCACAGTTTTAAAGCATGGATCATTTCACTGATTCTCAAACTTCCCTTTCTGTTTTCCTCTACATCTCTTACATATGAACCCTGTTTATCTGTGTATCAGATTTTTATATTTGTGAGCTTTAGGCAGGACTGAGCTATCTAACGCAGAAGAATGAAGCAGAGAAGAGTCTGGGATTCCCCAGAGCACCTCCTTGGCTGCTATCCCCAACATTTTGTTCACTCTTTTATTATACAGCAGGTATAGTTGCAACTGAAGGAAATGAGTTACACAAAGCTCTGCCTCTACCTGATGCCTGACTGCTGTGTGAAAGTGATACAAGTGATAGGACAAACGTATACCTCCTGCTAATCCATATGCACATTAATTTTATCAAGGTAGTAAAAATAAAAATATGTTGTGTTAGCTTAAGGAGATAAAAGAGATTGGTTTTTTGATTTTTATTCTCTCAGGTTTTGGTTTGTTTCTCCCTCTGATCCATGCATTATTTTTCTTTAAAAAGAAAGAAAGTACAAAATACTTCTGCATCTTAAGTATGTATGACTTCATGTGCACTCACAATCTCTTCACCACAGTGGAAAATGTTTGATTTTTTTTTTCTTTTTTTAAAATCTGTTAACAGTTTACAACTGCTGTCATACACCAATCTTGACACTTGGTGTCAGAATAACAGCAGAAATTGAAACAAATTTGAAGATAGCTTTTGGTCCTTCTGCACAGAATGTGATATATCTCTAATATCCCTGGATATAAGCTAATACTCCTGTTGTAATGTACTTCAGTGTAATGTACATACATAAAGTGTTGCAATTAGTAGTATAATAATATCTTTTTAATATGGGCATTCAGGGCTAAGCCTATTACATAGTCTGTTTGTAAAGACTGGGGTAAATCAGCATTTGATGACTTGAACTATTATTTAATAGCAATTATTTTCCAAAGATGATTAAGGTACCTCTTCATCTGCTGATGATGGAGAGAAGGGAACTTGCTAATTCCATGGCAATACCTTTTATCTGACATTAAATTGACATTGAAGTAGAGCTTATTGGACAGATTTTTGAAAGCTGTATGTATTTTTTATTCTACAGAAATGGGCTTAAAACTCCCGGTGCCCAATATGAGACAGGTTAAGAATACCCTGCCTGTTGCCTAGGCAGGATGCATACAGCATAAGTTCTTCTAAAAGTAAGAATAGTGTGGAAAATAAAATAGTACAGTGAAAACAATTCTACAAAATTCTTTCTAGTACTTTCTAAATTTACTACTTAACTCCTGAATTAGTAAATAAATTAAATCCTCGTCAATCCTGTATGTGAAACTATGGCTCATTTCAGCCTTTATGATCTAGGACATATCTTACATGATTTCATATTCAATTTACTAATTTAATAAACAGGGAAAACTGAATTCAGGTAAAGAAAACTTAAGATAAAACCAGATGTTCTCTTCAGGGATTTATCAGGTGTGAAATCCTGACCTTCCTGAAACCTGTGGAGAAAACTCCCACAGGACTACTTATGGACAGTTTCATCTGAGTGACCGATAGTAATCAAATGGTTTAACGTGTAACAGTTGGACCTATTCACCACTGTGTGGCTCAGTATCATGCATTTTGAAATGTTGTGTTCATCATAGGCTCGGTGAAAGATGAAAATGTTGCAAAGCTACAGCTGCCGTACAGTCTGCCTATGGAGGGCAGGGTGAAGTCAGCATTTGGTTGATGACTTCAGACATCATCTGATAAATACTTGTGGTTTTTGTAGAATATGAAAGTAAAATTATATGAGACACGCATGTAATAATGAACGCAATAGGCTTCAACAGATATATTTGTCAGTAGATATCCCAGCTTCAGTGTAGTCAAAGTGGTTATCAAAGTTCGAAGACAAATTGACAGCAAAGCTATGTAGCTTATGTAGTTAATTTATGGTTGAAGTTTTAGATGCCTACTGGTTTTTTATTAGAATTAAAACTGAAGGTAATGTAACGGCAAAGCAGATGCATTGTGTACATACCATATACTTCGGTTTTTCGTTTGTTTGTTTTCTTTTTTACTTTAGAAAAGGTGGCAGCAAGGTCCAAAGGTGGGACTCTGACAGAGGCTAAAATCTCCAGAGGGAGAGAAACACTTCGACTGAGAAATAAAGGCCCTGCCACTGTGGAGGAAATGGTAAGGTTATTTTGTGGCTTTTCAATAGTTCAACCTTCTAGCACCCAATTTAATCTTCCCACGGTTTTGAAGGTAAAGCAGGGAGGGAAAATTCACGTTACAAAGCTTGTGGGGCATACAATGAAGACTGTTTTCTGTAAGGAGAAATGTTTACACAAAATTGAAGGCTAGGAAAGATAGGATGGGGCTCAAGAATTTGGAACTTTTTCCTAGATGTCTAGATGGATGATGTTAAAGTGCATTAGACCAAGGAGCGTTGAAAAGAAGAAAAGAGAAAATAAAAGGAATGGATGAAGATGTGGTTTTGTATCTGACACCACAAAGTGTACTGGGCTAGTTTAAGCATGGTTGCTAGGAGAGGCTAATAACTTATGCTGACATGAATGTGTGTAAAACCAGGAGTAGTGTTTGAAAGAAGAAATTTTTCTTATTTCAGGATCTTCTAAAGCTGATGAGACTTTGATACAGGTCTGTATTGTCAAGAGTTGAAAGGCCTGTGTTTTGTTTGGTCAGTGTAAAAGTTCTGTGGTTTTAAGTTTGTAGTTAGTTGTGAAAAGAAGGGAATAGGGAGGGATAACATGATTTACTTTTAGGTTTTGTAAGTCTAAGCAGCTACAGTGAGAGTGAAGATAAGCAGTAGGCAATATCTTGTTTTAAAGTCTGCATAGGATATAGTAATACTTTTGCACTTTCTCTCCCTTTATTTCAATAAAGCTGTCTGAAGTTGAAGAAAAAGCAGTAAAAAAAGTGGATGAACTTCTTGAAACATATATGGGGATAAGAGATATTGAATTAGGTGAGTTTTAACGAATGCTTTACTACATGATTCAGTAATTTCTCATTCTATCTAATTTATAGTTGTTTCAGTCTGTCTGTGTAAGCAAAACAAAACCTGTCTAGAATGTAAACCAGAAACCTTGCCTATGTTTTTCTGAATATGTCTTTGATAAAAGGGAGAATTTCTCACTACAAGCGTTATGATGTAATTAATCTTTCTACCTGCTATCTATACACTACTGAATAATTTATTTAGTTATTTGCCATTAACTTTCATTGCCATTCTTTATGGCATATATTTTCTACCAGAGCTTGTATGTGAGGCTGGGGGATTGTTAAGGTCAAGCATGTCTATTTGCTGTTTTTCCTCTCCCTCTCTCTTTCATCCCTTGGCTTAAACACTTTAAAGGAGATCATTAAAGTTAGTCTGAGATCTTTTTCAGTGAAGGAGTAACTGTTTAGCAACCGGACTGATAGAGTAATTGCAGATTGATCAAATTCTTTAAAGCCTGTTTACTGAAGAAACATGGGAAATTTTCCATTATATTTGCTAGCTTTAAAATAATCAATTTATAGTGCAAGAAACTTTTGAAGATCAGTATTATTAGCTCCTTAAAACTACACTAAACTTGCCCCTGCAGCTGTTGTTTCTCTGTTTATCTCACACCACCTAAATATGAACTTCCATTTGTAAGGGAAGAAGCTGTTCATGTTTTGTGGTCTAGCTGATTAAGAATTGCCAGTGCGGGAGCAGCGGCTAGGTGCAGTCCTCATACGATATCATTAATGCTGAAACAAAGGCAGAAGTTATTTGTTATTGCAATATCAGAAATCAGACAAGAGTTAGGAAAGGACAAACTAAATGGAAAGCAATATTGAAAGAAAGCCTTTACGTGAGAGAAATGATAGAGGCAAAGCAAAAGAGGTGATAGGTCTGGCATGTAGCTAAAGGCAAAGCAGTATTGGTTGGACAGGCAGCAGTTAGCAGACAGGAATAAGAACAATATAAAATAATCTGAATAACCAAATGACTTTTGCCAGCTGCTCCTCCTGGCAAGCATCTTATTGGCAGCTCTACACGTTGCTTCACAGGAAAAATTGTAGGCGAATTACTATTTGTCTCTCAGCCTAAGGTCAAGGGGGCTTCCTAGCATGGAAGCGAGAGTGAAGCTGCGTAAAACTGGATAGCGCTGTTTTGCAGATATTATCCTCCCAGTTCTAAAGAAACTAACAGTTCTCAAAAATTCTATTCCCAGCACCTCTAGTACATGATGCCTCTGGCATGCAATATGTTCTCAGGAGCCCTGGGTGGTGCAGTCTGACCCTCTGTTTAGGTTTACTGTGAACAGTCTCTGGCTCAGGCTTCAAAGCTTCCAAGACTCGTGCCAGTCACCCCTCTGGAGCTGTTTTTGTCCTGCAGCTGTTGCAAGCCCCAGCTTGATCCAATCTTCTGAAGGCTCCTGTCCTTGTTAGTTACATCCAAGGTCTCCAGGCCTCCTGCCCAATAAAAACAGGTAGCTCTTGTTTTTGTATCTGTAGTCCAGGTTCCTGAGACTGTAGGCTAGAGCTTGTTTTTTGGATCTTCAGCATATGCTGTGCTCTCCTGTGTAACAAGATCGTGAGTTACTGTGGGAACTACTGTTACCTTTCTTTGACTCTCACTATTATAACTGGGTGGTTCTTGTACAGTTGACTGAAGAGTTCAGTTTGTAGTAAAAGCTTGGCTCTGCTGATTGTCAAGCACTTGATGGAGTTCTATGAATTCCCTGATATTTTTGTATATGTATTTTAACAGATCTGATGTCCTTGCATCTTTCAGTGTGTACCTTGGATAGTCCTAAAGAATGCCTTTAAAAAATGCTCAAAGAATGGACAGGTCTTTGTCCTCAAAGCTACTCTGTGCTTCTCAACTGGGTTGCTGGTTTGCCTTTTGCGCTTACTTCTCTTCCTCTCATGAAGTCTGTTAAACAAAGAAATTGTCATGAAGCAAAGATAAGAGGTTTACCTAGCTCTAGTTTGCATCCTTGAAGCTGTTTCTTGGAGTTTGAATCTTAGTCAAGGGCCAATGACGATGGAAAAAAAGAAAAAAAAAAGTTTTTATCACTTTTAAATAATTAAACAACTCTAGATCTCTTTAGGAAAGGAGAGCTAATCACTTGTCACAAATCTGTTCAATTAACATATGTCAGGTTTTTTTATATACTAGATGTGATCAGTCACCCATGAAGATGAAATATGAGGAAAGGATTCATTCAGAGAATGCCAATCACTGCTCAGCTAGAAATTTCGCTCATTACTCAAGCCAGATTAGTTGAAAATGCAAGTCATCACAATGCGACAGCCGACAAGTGATTAAGATCTCAATCATTGCTCACTCCCATGCAGTTCTGTTTGTCAGAAGCTCTGGTTGTCAGTTAATATTGCTTTTTCATCTCCATTAAAATGACACTTTCATAGTGAGATTGAATTCTGAAACAGTGCCCTAATTTTGAGCCAGAAGTTAGAAAGAAGAGAGAGAAAAATAATGTAAAATTATAGACAGAATTAAAGATGAGATAAAGCCCTTAATTTTTGCATTGCTAAGTATCTTGGGAGTTTCAAGAATGGCTGACTAAATATATACATGAGCCCCTGAGTAGGAGGAAAAGCTTTTAAACTGTTTAATTGAACACCGTGTGTGTGTGTGTATATATATATATATATATATATATATATATATATATATATATATGTGTGTGTGTGTGTGTAAGTGTGTATGTATGGGGGGGGAGGGGAGTGGTGGTGACAGATGATTATTTTCAGGTATCTAAACACTGTTGAGATTTACATACCTGCACTTCTACCTCTCTATTTTACTGGGGAAAAAATGGCTTAATTCACAGAAGATACATTTGGCTCTGTAAATGTACTCCTCAGCTTCATGCACATGTTAGAAATTGGACAAAGATTTCAGCTTTCTTTAAAATACAAATGCATTAGTGAGGGCTGCTGAAGATTATTTTAAGTCTTGTGAGTGTTTTCTGATACAGGAACATGAACAGCTGATTAATTGGAATGGTTCAGAAAGCACTGTTAGTGAAGAATTCTTATGGCATTTATTTTTAAATCAGTGAATTGAGATAAGCTGTATTTGACATCAAAGGTTGTGGGTGGGAGAAAGCCTGTATCTACAGCACTCAACCCCAGAATGCTATCAATGGCAAACTTTTGCAAAAGGGTTTCCTGTCCAAGTTGAGATGTTCCAGCATCTTCTGGCTACTCTTCACTCATAAATATTTTGTTCTATTTTCATGCTTTTGGATGATTGTTTCCTCGCAGATGTTCCTCTAATGTTGTCAGAGATTACATACCTTAGCATATTCTCCAATTCTGTTTAGAAGAATTCAGATCTACTTTTCAATTTATGGTTTTATTTTTCCAGCTTTCCAGATACTCAAAATACGGCTATATTCCATATAGTTTGTTTTTCCTCACCTCAGCTTTTATTCTCTGTACATCCTAGCAATGCTGGATGGATATTTGTATTTTGAAATGCTTTGAATGAAGTGGTATTTTCCTCAAATCTGTTGCTTTTTTCTATTGTCTACAAACTTAATTCTTCAAAGGATTATATTTCTCCAGTTTTTGTACTATGCCATTCAAATTGATTAATTTGTGACAGTGTTCAACATGAAGCTAACACCAAGGTATATTAATCACTGAAAACTCTAGTGGCATGCTTTGTTTTCTGTCGTATTGATAAGAATTGTGGGTGATTATTTTAGCTCTTTTAAAATGTTAGGCTGGACTAATATTTGTTACCTTTTGATGAAAGCAAAACTTCTGATATCATTACAGCTAAATAAATACTGAAATGTCTGTTAAGGCTTCTGAAAGGTTATTTTTTTTTTCTTCTGAAAATGACAGAAGAGGATATAGGTGGCAAAAACTGCTATGTAAGGTGATTGTGTTCTGGGAAGCCTGATAGCGAGCTTCCTTGGTCAAAGCTGAGAAGAAAATTTCTTCTGTCACTTTTGAGTTCCCTGAACTTCTCACATTTTTTTTTTTTATGAAATTTTCTCAAGTATGAGCATCGCTAGCAGTGGGATTTTAAAACAAATTTCTGAAGACAATGGGACTATCTGGACTGTCAAGAAAACTATTCTCTGTATTAGAATAAAATTTATGCAATCACTTATTGTGTCACATGAGAAGCAGTGGGAGAAAGAGGGTAGTGGAGCTAATTTGGCAAGGAGATGTTGTCCTCTGAGAGCCAGTAAAGTTCTTTTCCAATTGCCACGTATCTACCAAATACCCTTGAACTAAGTACTTTTTGATTTGTCTTGGGAATTATGCATTGCAATTGTCACCATGTAAGCATGCATATTCTGCACAGAATTTTCCAGCTGTGCTTCTGAGGTCATGGATGCCACCCCATGCATGTGGTAACTGCCCAGGGGGGTAAGAACATGTACACTGCGTGATAGAGAAACTAGTCTCTCTTAGTGCTTCTCTGCGTTTGAAACTAGCGAAATACAGGGTTCGTCTTTGCCTGTTCGTATGCGTCGGTGGTAAGAACTAGTGTGCCAACACCAGTAGGGATTGCTTTCATCTCACATTGCCGTTTGCTGAACGGTAATACAATGCTGCTGGCACTAGAGGTCAGCACCATGCTACTGAAAAGGCATGCAGGAGACAGGAAGATCTTGCACTTTCTGCCTAAGTGTATTCTATTGTACCGGGTGAATTAGAGAAGAGCAGTGTGCATTAACAATATAGCTCATTAAGTGTAGTGGTAGTGCTGATTGCAATTGTTCAATATAGTTGTAAAGGTTTTTATTTGAGGCTGCTGCTCTCAAATGGTTGTGACATTTTGACTTACTGTCACTTTGTAATTTGGGAAGCTCAATATTTAAAAAGCCTTGTTTGAAGTAGCGTTTTGGTTGATGACTGTGTAATTCTGAAGTTTTAACTAGGATGGTTGAACTTCAATATAAGAATGTGTTGTTATTGCTCTTAAACTGTCATATGTCTCTTTCATGTCTCAGTTTATCTCCGAAATTCCTTGCTCTACCACTTTTTCCACTGGAATACTTGTCTAGATTCTCACTCTTTTGATGACTACCTTCTTTTCAATATCTTAAGGAAATGTATCCAGGCATACTTTTTATGTCTAAATTGTCTTTCACCTTGCACATCTTCTCTCCCTCCAACCTTGTTTCACTGCCTATATGGAGCGGCTTCATATCCTCATTTGTTTCAGAACTGCAAAGGTTAAATTAAGCCCTTCACCTCATTTCCCTTTTAGACTGCTCTGAGTCAGTATCCCAAGGACTCCATGGGGGAGGCAGAAAGAATCCACACCAACAAGAATAGGTTACTTCTGGCAGGGAAAGACATCTTGAGTCCTTGAGATCCTGTAGTGTTGCCAGGAGTCTGGGTAAAGCTTAAGCTTCCTTGAGCACAGCAGTTTGTTTGTCAGACTTTGGGCTTCTTTGTGGTGTTTGGCATGGAGATCCTGTTTGCAGTCTCACGTCTGAATGTAGTTAAAACTGAAACATCGAATTTCTTCAGAGTTGCTGTTGCTGATGTCTACAGTGTGGCATGTGGCTCCAGTTTGCTCTCAGCTTGTTAAAAGTTTGCATAATAACCAGCTCTATTTTCCAGACGGTTCCAACTGTCAATAAACAATTTCAGGTTAACAAAATAATATTAAATACACATTTGAACAAGGAAAGCTTATTTTACATTTATCATTGAGATTTTGCCATTTCAATACCGTGTACTGCATGCATTACATAGCAAGTATGCAGTAGACTCTTACTGAAAATGGTTATCTGTGATTTCAGGATTTCCTTCCCTTTGTCAGGCACTGTAATACATGTTTTCAACTCAGTTATCCCTCTTAAAAAATAGCCTAGAAGTTATTAAATCCTTGAAGTGTGACATTAGCATTTGTTTGTAAAGAAGGTGGAAGTTACTTGTTCTTCATCTTCTGTTATACATCATCTCGCAGTACCAGGCAGGTGTAAAAGATGACAATGAAATAAATCAGAGTTTGATTCATCTATTGCACAATATAATCTTTTTTTTGTTGTTAATATGAACAGAGGCTGTGGAGCAGAGATACAGCTCAGAAAGTAAATCACTCAGCAGTCCTTTTGTGCTGAGTCTGTTTTACAGTCTTCTGCATCCCTCAAACGAAGATAGCCTACTGGCTTAGCTTAGTTTTGCTGATCTCTCCTGAGCTGACATCTTTCATCTTTTTGGGAGGTGCAGGTGCTGTGAAAGAGGGAGCTTTGAGCCCTCACAGCTTTCCTTTCTGCTAATGCCCCTACAGCCACTGTTGAGTGCTGTTTGTGATAGACTTGTAATTTCTCTTGGAATCTGAGGAGTTGTCCAGTGACTAAAGCAGCTTCCAAACTGAAGTCTGAAACTTCATAAAGATTGATTCTCATGTGTTTAACAGGAGAAATTGCTGGACGAACAAGATATTGGTCTATCTCTGTTTGCTAACAAATGACATTCTGCTCTTTTTTTGTGGCTTTTTTGACACTGTGCATATGTTGAACTGTGCATAGTATTTGAATCCTTTTTTCCTGAAGTGTTCAAGTGTTTTCTCTATACTTTTTTTTTTTTATCATTGCCCTTTTCCAAATACAGGTTATAACACTTAAATTTAGAAGCTGTTTCTGGCAAACCCGTATTAATTTGGTTGCATGTATCTACTGCATAGGTTGTATATAATTTTCCCATGTTCAAATATTTTGTTAAAAAAAAAAATTTTTAAATACAAAAAACTTGGCTATTTTAAACTCTGACTTGCTGGGATCTTTTATTTGTTGTTTAGAGGGGAAAAAAGCATTTGAGTATGCCTTTTAGATAAGTGAGGCTACATCAAACTCACTGAAATTGGTTGTGCATTAGCATGGGGCTTGTTATCACAGGAGTTTCCTGTACCTTGCCTTTAGACCTATGCTTTATGTGTAGTAATGAATGGTGAACATAATTTAGCTAGAGAGAAATGAAGTCTGGTTGAATTAACATCTCCCAAACAATTAAAAGAATATATAATGAACACTCCAAGGAAGCTCTCCCATTTACCAAAACATACTGTGGGGGATGGCACGCAGATATTAATGAATTTAAGATTCAGTAGCTAAGCTTTAGATCCCCTTAACACTACTGGACTCTGAAAACTTTCAAAAAAATATCTTGGGCAAATGTTAATTGTCACTTCCATGAGAATAATTTTTTTATTTTCTGTTTGTTTTTTTCAGCTGCAACAATGGTGGAAGCAGGAAAAGACAAGAAAAACCCAGATGAATTTGCAGTGGCATTGGATGAAACTCTTGGAGACTTTGCATTTCCAGATGAGTTTGTCTTTGATGTGTGGGGAGCAATAGGGGATGCTAAGCAAGGACGACTGGAATGAGAATTATGAAGTTTAACATTCTCAATTCAAAAGTATAAAGTGACTTTGAAATACGTATGTCAGAAGACTGATATTTTTATTGATATAAATCTTGGATGCTCTATACAAGTATTCTTATCAGAAACTTTGTTTTACAATGAAAGTTTCTAACAGAAATAAAGATATACTCAAAGGTCTAACAACTGCACATTTAGAATGAACATTTAATTTAAATGTAGAAATCACTGAGAGGAGAAGGGCCAAGTAGATGTATTTATACATGCATTTTATGTACTTTGGTGTCTATTTTGAGAAATGATAGATAGATGCAAAATTTTTTGGATTATTATTTTTTTTTTTTTAAGAAAGATTTATAAACTTGATTTAAAAAAAAAATAAAACCAACACACTGCAGTTCTCTGATCTGCTGGTTCTTAAGTATTCAAGTAGGCCAAGAGCTGCATTGTTTGGCCTGAATGTAGGCTTTTCAGTAGAAAAGATGAGAAGAAGCCACCCTGCCTCTGGAAAGGCATGTTTCATGTTCAGGAAAAAGTAAATTCCTCTGGGGGGGGGGGGGGGAAACAAAACAACAAACAACTATGACTTTAAAATAAACTTGCTCTTATTTTTGGTCATTAACACACACTGCCTACGTATTTCTGAAATGATTTAGTAGAAATGCCTAGAGCAGGAATCCGTTGCTTTATTCAGATGCCATATTATCACAATAGCTACTGCATAACAAGAAACAAATGTTAATTTTGATTAATATTCACATATTTGGATAATATCTGTGATCTGGCACTGGAGACTGTAATACTTGACTAAATGCTTCACTTATCTTTGCATGTAGTAAACACCTTGCTGAAATCCTATGACGTTCCCGCTTCATCTTGTCTGTTGTTTTTTTCAGAATGGCAATGTAGAGATATTTAAGAAGGTGCTCAGAATCAGTAGATGTAGTTCTATGATCACAACTGTAGTTGGGATGAAAATGAATGTCTAAAACTTCAATTAATATCATTTTATACTTCAGGATTTCAAATTATACTGTACATAGATGTTTATTCTTAACTGATAATGTTTTACGAATAAATCTCGGATTGTTAAAAAATTAGCTGTCTCTTAACACATCTGCTATGTCTGCATTTATCCTCTTGTTCACTCTATATTTAATGAAGAGCGGTGTTTTGTTTTTATTTATAACTGTATTCTTTTTCAGTTATTACTGTTAGGTTTTAATCAAGACGTTCTTGCTAACTTTTATAGAAAATGTAACTTTCAAGAGATAATTGTAGTGATTCTGATTTTTTGAAAAAATATATGCAATTTACATTTTAGCCAAATAAGACAATGAGTCTCACAATAAGACAGTGAAAATGAAATTAAACAAAAATATGGGGCCTGACTTTAAGTCTTGTTAATGCTCTTCAAGGGGATTGTCATCAATTTCATAAATGCCACTGTGAGTGTTTTGTTCCTCTAACTTAAGGATAAGCTTTTGTTTAATATACATGTTCATTTTTATGAAATGAGTGGTACAAAGACATATGGAGATCAGACATTTTATTGTATTTAAGAAAGTTAATAGGTGTCAAAATTGCACTGTACATGTGCCTTGTATAATCAGTGTTACCAGGGATGTAATATGCGTGTATCTTTAAATAGGTGTGATAATTATGGATTTCTGTAGTAACGCGTACACTATTGCTGGAAAAAATTCAGGCAATTCTCAAGTTATGAGAAGTATAAGTAGTTTTACTAGAAAATTAGTTATTAAAAGGAAAATAAAGAAACTTGGTCAACAGGTGATTTTTCCTTACATCCCATTGCTGAAAGGGAATGTAAGGAATGCAAGGGAATATTATTTTGAGAAGTGCAGTTTTAGGGAAAAGTGTACAGGTTGAATAGCTTTTGTCTGTATTTAATAACAGTGAATCTGATCTCACAATCTTCTGTTGTAGTTGAGCACTCTCTGTCTCGCACAGGACTCCTCTAACTTAGGAACTTTTGGTAATGAAGAATTTAAGTATTGTGGACCACATCATTCTCTAACCTTCTTTTAGGTGAATAACAAAATTGAATCATCAAGAGTTGAGCGCTAAAAGCTTGTGTTGCTTCTGTACACCATATAAATATGGTATTGATGATAAAAACTAAAGAATTCCTTCTTAAAGAGCAATGAACTACATAGAATTGTATTACAAAATAATACATAAAATATCTGTAGCAGACAACTCATGTGTTTTGGCTATGCATTTTATTTTGAAAAATTAATGCTCAAGAAGTATATCCTTAAACCATAATTTGTCCTACTATATTGACTGAAATAGCAAGATAATTTCTGAAACACTCATGTACTGATCTCTCATATCATTCATGGAGTTTATTGCAGAACTGAGATTTAAATAGTGATTGTAATTTTACTAACACTTACTGTACTAAAGTATGTTGACCTTAATTTTTTCTGAGTTCACATTTGTGCATGCACTATTTCCAGCACATATGACATAATGACACCAGTACCAAATTTAATAATTTGCTTGTGTTTTCCAGCTATGGATGAGTAAGATGTCATATGAAAATCACATTATGTTCTAGAGTATGGCAAATAACTTGCTCTTTGTAATTATTTCTGTAGGAATTTGACATTGTTTTACTGATTATATACAGCCTGCAGATCCATCCAAAACTCAGTCTAATAACAACTATAAATTATTTGTATGCTTTGTAGGGTGAAAATATCATTGTGTAGCTACCAAAATCTCTCAAATTCTTTTGAAGTTCTAGTCAACATAAGTAGTAATCAGAGTAGCACTGTAAGCATCTGGTTATTAGTATACAGAATCATCAAATTGTCTAGGGTAGAGAAAACCTTCAGGATCATCAAATCCAACCATAATGCTGTAGGTGGAGTTGGATAGATGCTAAATAGTCTTTTCTGCCTTCATCTTTTTCTCCCAGAATCTGAAGTGGACCGAGAGAAGACAGTAACTCAGCCTTGAATGCTATTTGAAAAGTAACTAATTCTCATAACATGGTGCACAGTCTGCTGGCAGCTGGCAGATAGGTGCAATTGTTTGTGGTTTTACTTTCAGCATGATGCTGTATTCAAGATGATGGAAAGTACACCCCTACTTTTCTCCATAAGCAATAGATTTTAGATGCAGAAATGGGATTTCATAAAATCATAAAGTTCTGAGCTCATTAGTGTAAGAACATGGTCAGCAATGAATATTTCAGGATTTTAAATGAGCTAATTTTGAAAATTACCCACACATCTTTTGAGACACCTTTAGTGTATGCCAGCTGTTGCCTTGGCTATAGAATTGATTTTATACAACCCTATTCATAGTGCCGTGGGTATTCAAATAGTTATTACTATAATTGCACATTTGTGAAAATCTTGTCTGGAATTCAAACTTGTAACTCTACACAATTTTCTATTTCCTTTTTTGCTTTTGTGATACCATAAAACTTTGAAAATTTTGACCTTTGTATTTGAAAATCATTGATCAAATAATGAGTCAAGAATTAATAAGTCAAAATAACATATATTATTATGTAATACCTTATTAAGAAAAAACTATCACGCAATATGCAATACAGAATGAAAAGCTTTTCAAGCAATATATGCAAAGGACAAAAAAGCAAATTACAGGGTTGTTTTTTTTTTTAATGTGAACTTGTGATTTTTGTTTTGTATATTGTTTTTCACGAGGACATCTTGTGAGAAATGTTGTTTGGTGTCAGGGACTTAACTGCCCCTTTGAAACCTACTGCATGTTTGCTGTGAACTTCAAAACATCTTAAATTGGATTAAATCAATTATTTATATTCAGTTTTCTTTTTGTTTGACTCTATGGTTTCTAAGACGTCTGCTTTAAATGTCACAAATTTCTGAAAGATCTGTGATTTAGTTTACAAGAATATAAGCAAATTTACAGACATTAAAGGCTAAGATATTCTTCAGCTATTAGTTTCTGTAAGGAGCTTGTAAATAATAACAGTCTGTCATTAAAAATCATGCAGTCTGAAGTACAGGCTTCTTCCTCAGGAAATATGTATTCAGATGTGAGTTTCAGGGGGTGAAAATTAAAAAGAAGATTGAGACAGGCGGTGTCTTTCATTTTCCTTTTCTTTTTTTTTTTTCCACTGAAACACAAAATGGCTTTAATCTGAATGGGACAAGGTCTGTACAGTGACAAGAAGCAATCTCCTGAGGCATTTAGGCTGATCTCCAATTGCTTGTAACTAGCTTGTAGAAAGCAATCATAGGCTGTGAGCAGCTTTTCCAGTTTTCTTTAAATAGTGGCAGTTTGAATCTCTGTTGCTGCTTAGGCTCTTTCAGAAGAATGTGCATGTTGTTTCTGTAGCAATTGGCTTTGTAGCAGAATCTCAAGTAAAAATTTCCTAATTGTCATAAACTTAATTTTACTAAATAGTATTTGAGAGAGGAAAAATTGGTGAGAAATAAATGTTTATTCTTTGAAATAGGGGGATATCTACCAGTTCCGCTTCTTAGTCATTTGTGTTGTGGTGTGTAGGAAGAATGCTCTGGAAAGTGTTCAAAACTCAGCAGCGTGAAAAAAGAGTAATGAATATTCAAAGTTCACCTGGTGGCCCCAGCTCGTGGCCCCATTCGGTGTTTCCTGAGAGTTCAGATGAAGAACATAAGTGACCACAGGCACAAATCCCAATCTTTCTTTCTAAATCTTTATTTTAATCTTGATGTCCCAGACTTGTGTCTCAAGCATGGTTTCTGGAAATTGATACATGAACTATATGGGTCTTACAGCACTGTAGGCAGGGTGTTAGATCAAGAGAGAAATGAACTTTACCACACAGAGCAGTCCCTAAAAGGGTTGAGCATACAGATTAGACCAGCTCTAAATCAAGGAGTTTGTTTAATGTGAATGCTGGGTTCTCAGCTGCAATGATTCTGCACTGCAGACGTATTTCTATGATTCCTTGACCAATTGCTGAGATGTACCCAGTATCCTGCCCTGTTAATGTTTGCCAGCTGTGTGGGCTCATGAATCTAATGTAAATTAATGAGTTAATGCCTGATGGGTTGTAAGCTTTTTTTTTAATCTTGGAAGTGTAATTTATTTTCTTGTTGTACAGACAAAAATTTGACTGAACCTGAGGGTTGTAAACAATGGTCCCTGTAGGTTTTCTGTTTTGTTTCTGAAGGCACTGCACGTCTGAGTGAACTTTTCATGGAGGCAGAGAGAATGACAATGAGAATCATTATGAAGTTTTAAATTTTGATTCCTGAATGTTCTTCATATTTACTTTTTTTTCCAATCTTCTTTTGGGAATGAACAGCTAAATACTTACTAATAATGTTTCTTCTTGGAGCGTGAACCACATTAATTAATGTCTTAAATGAAAGATGGTATTTGAATTTAAGATGAACTATAATTGGAGAAACATGTTGCACCATAATACTTCAGTAATATCTCAGACAAGTCTCTTTTTACTAAAAACATTGTTTTAACTAAGTATTCCTGAATTTTTTCTGTTTGTTACTTTTTTTTTTTTTAATAAGGAAGTAGGCTTGCAGAATGGTGAATGGCGAAGCATAGGATGAAATTTTTAGTTTAGTGGAAAAAGCTTTTAATGACAAATTTATGATTACAAGTTGTGCTTGTAACCTAGATGATCTACAAGGGATTTGTTTACTCCTTTTACCTGGCAACTTTTTTTTCGTTCATACATAGAACAGTCTCAGTCTTGAAACAGAAAAGAGAGCATGGTAAAATCCATTGCAACTCGTTCTCTAGGCAATCATGGTATTGGAATCTATCAAAATCATTCACACATCCTTGTTTTCAAAATGACAATCCAGTGGCTATTTTTACATGTATTTTCAATTGATGAGCTTAAGTTTTGAGACCAGTGCATCTGTTTTGAAGTATCTTTAGGCAAGTTAAACTTCTGGTTAACAGATACAGAAACAGATCAACAGAATAGTACAGTTCAGCTGTATTGCTAAGGATATCTGAAATGCCCAATGACTACTTGCCATTAGCTTGACCAAATTCGATAGTGATCAAATTCTATATGGAAGACTGAAAAAGCAGAAATGGACCTTGTTCTTTCTATGTTACC